CTTATTGATTTATATAGAGCATTCTATACTAGGAATACTCCCTTCTGTACAGGAAGTGTAGTGTATATATTATGCCAGGATAGCTGGGTGACTGGCTGTCGCTTGAACGGGAGAAGACACATGCTGCAGCAGGTTCACGAGGTGGAGCAGGAGTTGTCTGTCACTACATCAGGTAGCAGGGAGCATCCCCAACAATGGGAGGGCAAAATATGACCTGAGGGCTGTATCTGGCCTGCCAAGTTGCCAGATCCTCAGCCAGGCTCCCTTACTGCCTTGCCTCCACAAACCTCTCAGAAAAGCAACCTTGGGGCCATGTGCATCTCTGAATGCTGCAAGCTTGGGGAGATGGGTATAAGAGGCTTCATGGGCTGCCTTACCCCTGCCCCAGCACAATCTGCAACTTGCAGCTCCCATTGGCCAATTTCTGACCAATGGGAGCTGCCTGTTTGCGGGACAGACAGCACATGAAGCACCCTCCCCTTCCCCTTGGGCTTGCAGTGTTCAGCGAGGCACATGTTCCCTGCAGCTGGATGCTCTGAGAGGCCTACAAGGGCATAGAAATTAGGGAGTCTGGCTGAGGAACCTGCTGGGCTGCTGGCTGGTAATCGCCCAGATTCTGTCCAGAGCCTGCCTGTAGCACCCAGGCCCTCCCTCCCTCAACCCATCCCTCTGCCCTCCCACCCTGCATCCCTGTGCCATGTAACCCAACCCTCTGTACCCCCGCTCTTGCACCTATACCTCCTCCCAGACCTTGAACTCCAATCATCTGCTTCAGGTCACTGCCCACTCCTTTACCTAAACTCCCTCCCAGACCCCAGACCCTCTCCTGCACCCAAACCCTTACCCCAAGCTCCCTTTTGCACCTAACCTCCATCCCAGACCCTCCACCTCTTCCATTAAAGTCATGGAAGAATACAGCCCTTGGAATGTCCCCCGCAAAAATTATTGCCCACATCTGCCCAACAAAGTAGTGACACTGAGCAGACTGGAGTGGCCACTTTCATTAGGATCTTATATACCTGCTTTGGGGTCACAAGGTTAGGCTCTTGCTTGTGGATTATCTGAACCCTTAGGACATGGAGGTAATAATCTCAAATGATTCTGGCTCCCAGCCCTCAGAACACTCCGGCTCAGGGATAAATCTTTAGTCTCAGAATGTTCAACACAAAACATTACATTGTATTAATATTATTTTGGTAGCATTTAGTGAGTATTATTTTTCTGATTTGTCATATTTATTTAATTAATAAACATCAAGAGTTTGCTAAGTACCCAGCCTAAGAAGCTGGGTGTGTGAGGGAGAGGGCAGGAAGAAATGTTCCCATCCCCCTGCTACAAAATGGCTGCACAACAGTCTCTTAATGGAGTAGCCTCTATGAGTTCTGAGAGAGTACAGCCCCCCCCCTTCAGAGCAGAAGGTAGCCCTACTTTCACCCATCTCTTGGCCTCTATTCATATGCCCTCCCCTGCACCATGCACACTCCTGTGTAAAGAGCTCATACAGAGTGGGGTTCACCTTCTTGGGACTGGGTTTTCACCTTAATTGTCATCCAGCCAAGTGGGATTGTAGGATTTGCAACCTGAAAATGTTGTCAGAAAGAAATAGTACAATACAGCAGTAATGGACTAAGAAGAATGGACATTAGGCAGTTTGATAACACTATTAAATGTGAAGTAAAAATTATATAATTAAACATGCCATAAAGTAATTATTGTTATCACTTAAAAATAAGACATCCTGCTATGTTTTTTCCTTACTGTCTTTTAGGTACTCAACCTCTTTCTGGCCTTGCTGCTGAGCTCATTTAGTTCGGACAACCTTGCGGCTACAGATGATGATAATGAAATGAACAATCTCCAAATTGCAGTGGCAAGGATTCAGAAGGGAATAGATTATGTAAAAAGAAAAGTACATGAATTCGCCCAAAAAGCTTTTGTTAGAAAGCAAAAAGTTTTAGATGAAATCAAGCCTCTTGAAGATCTAAACAACAAAAAAGACGGCTGCATTTCCAATCATACTGTTGTAGAAATAGGTAAAGACCTTAACTATCTTAAAGATGGGAATGGAACTACCAGTGGTGTAGGCAGCAGCGTGGAAAAATATGTCGTCGATGAAAGTGATTACATGTCATTCATAAACAATCCAAGTCTCACTGTGACTGTGCCGATTGCTGTTGGGGAATCAGATTTTGAAAATTTAAATACAGAAGAGTTTAGCAGCGAGTCAGATCTAGAGGAGAGCAAAGAGGTAGGAGTATTTTATATTTATTGAGATAAACTGTGGGATTTTTCCATTTTAGCTTTGATTTATAACCCTAGTTCTATTCCTTTATAATAGCCTATACAATCTTGTAATGGTATATAAGAAATTCGATGGAAGGCTGCAAATTTCAAATGTGAAAGAAATAGAGTATTCTCTTGATTGTGACAACACCGATGCTTTTTGAAAATTAAGATTAATTTCTATTTTTTATTTCTATTTTATCAAGACAATTTAATAGTTGCAAAAGGTTCCAATTTTCTAGCCCAGGAAAATGAAGTTATTTGTACATGAAACAGAATGTGCAGCAGTAGTGCAAATTTCTCCTTAATTGTCTCACCAACGTGCCTTAGTATTTCAACATTATTCTGGAAGATCCATTTATAGAAATAACAGGCTCCATTCCTTTCAATTATTGACCTCTTTGAGACTGTCAAAAAAGAGTGCCAATAGTGACTGACTGTTTTCAGAATACAGCACCTGGATTCTGTACTATGACCATCAACCTATTTCAGAAACACCACAGAAGTGTCAACAAATGGTAAGAACCACCAAGTGTAGCAAATTAGTGACCTAGTGGGAAAAATCTCCAGAAGTTTCTTATCCCAAAGTCAATCATATTCATGCAGCCACCGAACCTTACCCTACAAGTATTGAGGCATTTGAATCCCATACTTTACCCTGCCACAGATTAAAATTCCTTTTTTTCCCACTGTCTGTGTGAAATCTAGAACTCTTTTTTTCCATGTAGAATAGTGATAGAAATGTAGCCATGCTAGTCTGGTATAGCTGAAACAAAATACAGGACTATGTAGCACTTTAAAGACTAACAAGATGGTTTATTAGATGATGAGCTTTTGTGGGCCAGACCCACTTCCTCAGATCAAATAGTGGAAGAAAATAGTCACAACCATATATACCAAAGGATACAATTAAAAAAAATGAACACACATGAAAAGGACAAATCACATTTCAGAACAGAAGGGAGATGCGGGGGGGGGGGGGGGGAGGAAGGAAGGTAAATGTCTGTGAGCTAATGGTATTAGAGGTGATAATTGAGGAGCTATCTTTGTAATGGATAAGATAGTTAGTGTCAACAAAGACACATATGTCAAAATAATGGTTAGCTGGAGGACTTCTTAATCCAACTCCTATAACCCTCTTTTTACAAGGAGTAAGGGAAGCTGGAGGAAGAGTGCTCTTTCTCGAACTTTCTGCCACGTAGATGGCACCAAAAGCCAAAATACTCTATTTTGACTTAAGCTGCACAATTGACATTGCTGCTCACGTTGCATAGCTTATTTCAGCTTTAGCCCTCCTGTGTAGATGTGCCCTTGGGGTGTGTCTAAACTACACCCCTCCGCTGACAAAGTGATGTAGTTTAGACACATCGCTATTGCAAATGAATCAGGGATTTAAATATCCTGCGCTTCATTTGAATAAAAATGATCGCCGCTTTTTGCCGATGTGGCACTTTGCCGGCAAAAAGTGGTAGTCTAGATGGGAATCGGTCAACAAGGAAAGCCTTTTCCGACTGATCCTGTAAACCTCGTTGCATGAGGCATAAGGGATTGGTCGGAAAAGGCTTTCTTTGTTGACTGATCCCTGTCTAGACTGCTGCTTTTTGCTGGCAATGTGCCACATCGGCAAAAAGCGGTGGCCATTTTTATTCAAATGAAGCGCAGGATATTTAAATCCCTGCTTCATTTGCAATAGCGATGTGTCTAATCTACATCTCTCTGTCGGCAGAGGGGTGTAGTTTAGACACACCCTTGGTGTCCTATATGTCCTAAGTGCAAAAATAGGACATATATCTGCTGAACTATTTTAATGTGCACTTACAAAGAAAAAGAAACATTCTCCCTCAAGCACCTTACAAGAGGTTTGATTGGTGCATCATTCCATTATGATCTATTTCAGAGCTTTTCACTGCTATGGGTGGACCAGCCAAGTTTATTACTAAGCTTATCAAAGTATTTCTAACACTGAGAGAATCAGTAATTATCAGATGACAGCAAGGACACAGGTTCTTTCTCCTCCTCTACCTAGATCATGTAGTTTCCCAGAATACTTCTGCTCTTTAAGCCTTCTATTTGTCCATGTTTCCAAACATATTCCTTGAAATAAAATGTTCACATTCCTCTTCACTTTCACACCTAACCACAACTATAGAGGTTATTCATAAACAACCATAAAGGCTATTCATATCAGAATTTTGGGGAGAAAGGATCATTATATAGCTCAAACTATGACTGAGAGTTGGTTTATTCTTGCAAACTTTCTGTGTTATCCTGATAAGTCACTTAAACTGTCTGTTTCTTGGTTTCTTCATTTGTAAAATAGGAATAATAATTATATAAATTACAGTGGTGTTGTCAGACTAAATTTATTAACTTGTGTAAAATAGAACCTTTCATATGAAGAATTCAATAGGATATCAAAATACTATTGTATTGTGCCTTATTTGTGTGCATTGACTATAATTGCAATAGTTACTATTGAATGAGTAAGGTTAAAAAAACTGTGAACATCAAAACTTTGAAATGGTGAGTAGTCCTAGTAAGGCCAAGAACATGTACTTATTGGTACATTTTTTAAAATCCCTCTCTCTCTCCATTTCCTTTTCTGAACTTTCATCCAAATCCAAGTAATTTTGTGCAAATTCCAGATTGGGATCCACAGATTAATAGAGGGGCTTTCCTTTCCTTTTGTCTGGAACTCTTTATGCTTCTTGCTGGAAGCACTTGTTTAGGTATATCTCAGGCATCAAGTTGTGCTTTTGTGGTCTGTCCTTTGTTCCCAGGACTGATTCCCAAGCACTGAACTCTAAATATCCCTAAGGTTTCTACCAGAGTCTCTTTAAAAAAAACTGCTTTCTATATCTTTTCCTATAATATGAATTAAACTTAGATAAACAAACAATAACATTTATCTTCTCTTCAGAAATCTTGTGAAGGATTATATTTATGTATATGCTTTTCTTTTACTCCTCTAGGGCTTGAGCCTGCCATGGCTGAGCACTCTGGCACCAACTCATCTTTAAGCAAAAAGTTAAAGCACTTGTTTAAATTATTTTCTGGATTGAGACCAGAATGCTCAGCCCCTTTCAGGATCAATCCCTTGTAAGGCTATACACAAGATAAGACAGGGAAAAGCCCAGATGATCCTAACATTCCTTTCTTGGGCTTGTCTCTCTTGACATCTCCTATACACTCATCCCAGTTCATTAACATTCAGATACATCCACAAATATTACATTAACATCAGCATATGAGTCTTTTGTTTTTCCATCTAGAGATCATTTGTTGGTCCTTCAGAAGTCTTCTGTTCCCTTTTATCATGTCTAATGAGTTTTAGTTAAACTTAGAAATGGGACTACTCACAAGATTTTCTTCAACATTTTATAGTAAGAGAGATTCTTGGCAAGATGCAGTAGTTTAAAGTTTCCTTTATTCACTTAAATTGCACCTGGTTTCCTCTGTTTATTCTTCTCAGGTTTATAAGTCTCATGAAGAAACTGTCTTTCTTCTCTGAGGGCTGGTCTATATTACAGCAGGAGATGGATCTAGGTTAAACAATTTCAGCTAGGTAAATAATGTAGCTGAAGTCAATGTACTTAGATCTACTTGCCTTGGTGTCTTCACTGTGTCATCTAGAGACACTTTCCCATCAACTTCCCTTGCACTCTTTGAGGTGCAGTAAGAGTCAATAGCAAAGTGATCAGTCACTCCCTTATCAATCAAACCCATATTGAAGACATGCTCTCAGACTAAAATTATTAGTTATTTCAGATTTATCCTGTAAGGCAGAAGATTGCTTTGTTTTCATGAATTATTTAGTAGGTCATTTTCCTCCTTTAAAATCTCCAGCTCTAGGAGTTTCCTTAACGTGGTATTTAACAAACTATATGCCATTGCAGAAATATTCTTTATATTAGTTCCCCTTCAGTATAGTTCTTCTCGGTCATTGATATTTCTGCATCTGGAAAGTTAGTGAACAATGTTCACGGTAATCTTTTTCATCCTGTGCGCATTATTTTCCATCTGTGTATGGAATAATATATTTACATCACTGAGGCATGTGTGGATGTGCACTATCCAGTAGAAACATAAATCTAACTGTGAGCACTCTGTTAAACAGCTGGGCAGCATTGGAATCTCTCCTGAGCAGCCATACAAGTGCAGAGCTTGCAGGGAACACTGTTAGGGTGTATCTACACTGCATCTTTAGCTCAAAATAAGCTATGCAATTTGAGCTAGGCAAATTACATAGTTTATTTTGAGTTAATTTCAAAATAGTTTATTTAGTAACTAGCCAATTAGCCCATCATAAAACGGGATTTTCAGGTCTCTCTTCCACGTCCTATTCCCTTTCCATCTCGGTCTTTTCTCCTGAGCCTCTGGATTCTCGCTCTGTCTCTTTCTCTCTCCCCTCCTCCTACTGCCTCCCCCTCTTTCTCTCTCAGCTCTCCTCCATCTCCTGCCTCTCTCTCCATCTGTCTTTCTCTTCTCCTCCCCCTCCTGCCTCTCACTCTCTCTTTCTCTTCTCCTGCTCCTCCTGCATGGGGAGCGCAGAGCCCAAACAGCTGTCTGCACCACTTGCTCCCATGTGGCAGCCCAGCTGAGCAGCTTCCTATGAGCTCCAGCTGCCCCCCTGCACCGTTTCACTTCACCCCAACACTGATCCTGCAGCCTCCCAGTTGTCTTCCACCTCCCGCTCCTCCTCATTCCCCCGCCTTCCCCCCGGTCAGGGTCTGTTCATGGCCAGGGGGTGGGCCTGGAGCCGCTGTCATACCGCATGTCACCGCCCCACCCCCCTTTGCCTCCTGCCGTGGCATTCGGCTGACTTCTGCGCTGCTCAGCCAGGCCGCTGCGTGGGAGCAAGTGGCACAAGTGACCGTTTGGGCTCCACACTCCCCATTCAGCACGAGGAGCGTGGAGCCCAAAACGAAGCCCAAACAGCCACTTGCGCCGCTTGCTCCCCCGCAG